GGTCCAGATGGCCAGAATCGCAGATCAGTCTATAGCTGGGGTCAAAGATTAGTCTGTGGCCAGGGCTAGGGGTCAGCATGTGGCTGGGGTCAGTGTGCAGCCAGGATTATGAATAGGTCCATAGTGTGGGTCAGGAATCCATTTATGGCTTGAGTCAGAAGTGATTCTGTGGTTGGAGTCAGATTTCAGACTGGAGCTAGGATTCGAAGTTTGGTTTAGTGTTATTCTCTCCCTCTGCATCTCTCTCTTGTCTCCTGCTCTGGGTTATCGACACTGATGTGAGTGTTGTCTAGTTGTATCCATGGGATGAGGTGAGCTTAGGGTCTCCTACTCCAGCACATTCCCGTTGTCTCATTCTCTTTCTCTGGAAAGATCTGTTGAAAGCTTGGTGACTCGGGTCTGCGGGGAGGAGAGAAGCAGAGTCTGGGCAAGACCCTGTGACATGGGGGAGATATGGAAGAACATGAGCAGAAAGGAGTAAAACAGTGAGGGTGGGAGGGAGAAGATATATGTAATGTGTATGGATAGGTGGGGAGAAACACGTGGTCCACACCTCTGCAAATAGACAAAAGCACTGACTCTGCATGTGAACATCTAGAAGTTGTTGGACAAATTGGTGGCATGAAGCCATTGGGACCATTTCTGTCTTGGATTTCTGTTGGCTAGTCTGACCTTTTTTTGCAATAAAATAGCATTAAATTTAAAATGTTATTTCCTTTATGTTTTTTTTTTAAAGATTTTATTTATTTTATCTGAGAGAGAGAGAGAGCACGAGCAGGGGGAGGGGCAGAGGGAGAAGCAGATCCTGGGATCATGACCTGAGCTGAAGGCAGACGCTTAACTGACTGAGCCCCCCAGGCGCCCCCCTTTAATTACGTTTTATGCCGTCACTCCCACAACACCCACAGACCTCTTCAGTATAATAAGAAGAATGCGAGCAGGCCCTTGGACAGCACTAACCATGTGCAGACACCATCCTAAGGCTTACATGAACTAGCATATTTAATTTTAACTACTGGTCCATGAGGGTGGTACTAGTATCATTCCCAGTTTACAGATTAGGAAGCAAGCACAGAGAGGTTAGGTGACTGGCCTCCAGCCACACAGCTGATCCTTGGAGCACTCTGAGTTCCTAAAGTGTGTCAGACCCTTTTGCGAGGTGCTGACAGGGATGGGGAGAAAGGCAGAGAAGAAAGAGAGGTGGGGCCAGGGGCACCGGGATCTCCCAGGCGTGGCGTCAACCCAAACTTGGAGGCACCGGGACAGAGGCAGACGCTGGGGCCAGAGCGGCCTCAAGAGGGCAGCAGGGACCAAAGAGCGAGCCTGCAGCCAGTCTGACGCAGCCATTCCCCCCCACTGGCCAGGCGCCCCTGGCTTGTCAATAAACGTGTGGGAAACGGTGGGATTTTGAGAAAGAACTGGCATTGTCCAGCCGACACATCTGCTCCTCACCCCGTCGCTGCGGGCTGCATGCTACTTCTCTCAGCCATCTTTGTTGGGGTGGAAACTGAAGCCCAGAGTAGTCAAGTACTTTGCCCACAGTCACACAGCCCCTGATTGGCACAGGCAGGTTCCAAACGAGGCAGGATGAGTGCAGAGCCCTTGCTTCTTGGAGTCTCCGTGTTCCGAGACCTGGAAGAGGGGTATGCAAATATGGGCAAATGGTGGCCGAGAGTGGTCAGGAATCAGGGCTCCTCATGGGCAAGTCCGGCCCACGTCATAGCCCTGTTGTGGGGATCTGATGAGCTCATGCCTCCCTTGCAGTGGCTCAACTTTCGTGGGAAAATAATGTCAGAAAGTTTATTCAACAGGATGTTCATGGAGTTACACCTTCAAAAACAAACATTCATTTTGTGATCGCCCACAGGGAGCCAGGCGGGGGATGGGATTTCCGGTGGTTTTCACTTTCCTCTTTATACCTTTATGTTTTCTCTGAATCGGAGAAGGCCGCACGTGCCAATTTAGTAATCAAAAACAAACAAACAATAAGCAGGGGTTTTGTGTAAAAAATAAGATAAAATAAAATATAAAATAAAATAAAATAAAATAAGGCAGAGGCTCGCCTCCCCCAGAGGGCGGGGGATCTTTGTAAAATCAAGGCTGGAAGTGTGTGGGGATGGGGCCGAGGGGGGCCGGGGGGGGACCCTGAGATCAACGCATCTCGGGCCGCCCGGGGTCTGCGAGGCCCATCCCCCTCCCGCCCTGCGCACCTCTGGTCCAGCCCCGCGGGGGCGCTGGGAAACTCCGCCGCCGCCAGCATCTTGCTCCGCCCCACCCCCACCAGACTACTTCCAGCTGCAGTACTGGGCCGGGCCCACCTGATCCGCCAGGTACCCCCTCCTCCAACGCTCTTGGGGCAAACGTTTGATGCAGCCCTTTCCCATTCTTTCTTTGATCTTTCTGGAGCCACACTGAGACAAGGGACAAAGGTGATGAAGATGATGGTGATGAGGGAGACTATCTCCAGGTTATCCCTAGGATGCAGGCCTTATTATCCTTCCTGTTTTACAAACAAGAATGCCAAGGCTTGGGCAGGATAAAGGGGATGCAGCAGAGAGGGGGTCTGGGGCTTCATGACGTAAATACCTTGGGGTTCCTTGCCTAATTTGGAGAATGGGGGAGGGTGGGGCAAGGACCAGATTTTAAGAGGATTTTTAAGAGTTCTTTATTGAAGAAATTCCAAGAAGGCCCCAGGCAGCCAGCCATTCCCTGGGGGAAGTCACTTGACTCCTGAGTGAGAATATCAGCAATGAGGATTTTAAACCGCCTCCCCCTGCTCCAGTCGCTGTTGTCAGGAGGAACCTGAGTCCTCCACTTTGACAAGGTGGGAGGGAGCCCTGCTGGATGGAGGAACACTTCCAGTGGCTTCACTTCCCTTCGCCGGCTCCTGCTTATGGGTAGCTTCGTTTGGGGATTGGGGAGATTGAAGATTGGTGCCTGGTTTCCACCGGACCATGTTTCTCAGTGCATGGGCTACTGTGCAGTTGAGCCAAGATGTAAATTCCTCCCTCTGGCTCCCATCCTGCCTATCTCCCACCTTGGTCCCTGGCTCACTGTGCTGTAGCCGATCTTTTCGAACTGCGAATGTATCAAATTCATTATGCCTCAGGGCCTTTGCACTTGCTTTACCCTCTGCCCAGAATGCTCTTCCTCCAGCACTTCCTGGCTTCTTCCAGTCACCGAAGGTTCAGCTTAAATGTCACCTCCTTAAGGACCTCCCTGTTAGATCCCCCTACCTCAGACCCCATAGCACTTTTCATAGTGCTTTTCTCCATAGCACCCCTCAGTGTTTGTAACTTTCCCCTTCGTCTGTTTAATGACTGTCTCCTGCACTGAACTGTAAGATCCAGAAAGAAAAGGGACCTTGTGTCAGTTGCCTCAGCGCCCAGCACAGTGCTGGGCACACAGTACGTGCTCAGTAAATATCGGTGGGAGGTGCCGCTTTCTTGCCCACTGCTTCCTCCTTCCCTGTGTTAAGCTGAAGAAGAGCATCTGGGGAAGCAAGAACAGTGGCCTTTTCCCCGGCTTCCCTGAACCTAGGAGGGTGGTTTAAATCCACCTAAAAAACGGAAGGGGTCTAATTCTCTATTCCCACCTCCCAGAGCCCAGACGACTCTGTATTACGAGTCTCAGCTGATGACTTGGGTCCCCTTCTCTTGAGATCATGGGGGAGAGGACAAGGAGATCAGTCGCGCTTCTGTGTTGGACTTCCATCCCAGCCACCCCTCCACCACGCCCACAAACATGTTTTCTGAGACAACGCTCAGGCAAAATGGATTCGAGCTGACATTCACATAGGTGGCTTGCTGTACACGAGGAGGCGTACCGTGGTGGCTGGGAGCTCTGCGGTCTGACCTGGGTCAAGTCCTGCTCCGGGTGTCCTCGCTGTGTGGTCCGAAGCTAAACCTCAACCTCTCTGGGCCTGCTTCCTTACCTATCAAATTGGGATAATAATCGCACCTGCCTCCTAGCGCTATGAGGTAGTGGATGTGTATAGCACTTAGCATATTGCGTGGCCCTAAATAGTTATTTTGATTTTAAATTATTATGTTTTTTATAAAGAGTTCTTGAAGGCAGAAAGTCCAGAGGACTAGTTCAAGCTCTGTCATTCACTGTGTGACTTTGAGCAAGTCCCTTTTCCTTTCTAGCACTAAGTTCCCCCACCTGTAAATCGTGGGGTGGGAGCTGACTCTGGCATTGAAAGGCACAGATTTGGGCTCAGGATTTCTAATAAACATCAGGCTGCATGTGAGGTCGTGAGCTCCCCATTGCTTCTAGTGCATTGTGTAAAATGCCAGAACAGAAAGGAACCTCAGACAACCAAGCCACCTATTTTGCAAGTGTGGCCATCAGGGTAGCTACTCAGACACCAGAGTGATCACGGACATAAGAGCTTAAATCCCATCTGCGTTTTCATGCTGTCTGCCTGGATGTCGAGCATGGATCACCTACAGACAGCCTGGCTAATGGAGACCCTGCCTGGGTTCATCTATGGACGGGCCCGCCACTAACTAGCTGTGTGACTTGGCAAAGTGTAGCAGCTGCCGGCAATCTCTGTCCGCGTCTCCCCGACGTGCCAAAGTGTGCTCCAGTAGTCTTTACTCTCAGCCTGGGGCCTTGGGGAGCAGCCAGTCGTGCTGGAGAATGAATGCCTATGGAAGGAGCCCTCGACCAGACGGAAGCTGGTGGACAAGCACCCCAGCTCCTTCACCTTTGCAGGGATCCCTTTAGGCATGCGTCCTGCATGGCTATCCCAGGCGCCCAGAGGGGTGAAGGTCAGTAGCCCTGCTGGGTAACACACCCTTTCCTACCTCCTGACCTTCCCTGACTCACTGCCCCCTCCTGAGCAAGGTGTCCTGGAGTCACCTCCTAAAACAACGACCTGCACTTGAATCGCGGTCTCGGAGGAACCCAAGTAGAGACAGAAAGTTACTTAATCTCTTGGACCTCAATTCCCCTGGACGGCAAGATTCAACGAGTTAACAGAGGAGACAAAGTGCTCACAACCAGGTCCAGCAGTATGTTTATTTAAGAAGGAGGGGGCGGGGAAGGAGATAAAGAGCCTTTATTTATACAAAACTCCACACCCTCCTGCTCCACCCTCCCCAGCCTAGACAAATACCAGGTGATAAAACAATCTTTGAGATGCAAACAAGCATTACTCAACCTGAGGGGTAGGTCAATGTGCAGGCTAAGTGTGCCTGGTGTGGTCCGTCTGGAACGCCCAGCATGTCAGGGTCACTGGACCGGAGCCACTCTCTTTGTCTGGCGTCTCCATGGCTGCCAGCAAGCATCCATGGGGGCACAGAGAGGCCCCGTGCTTCACAGGAGTCCCCAGTCTTACGGTCATGTGGGACCCTGATGGCAACTCGTCATGGCTTGACGATCACAACCTTCCGTGTCCTCTGGTGTCTGTTGCCTGCATTTGACGAAGCACGCCCTCCCCACTCCAGCCCAGATCCCACCTCCAGTGTCAACCCAAGGGAGGTCTGTTGAATGAATGGGCGCCTCTGGCCAAATGACCACCCTTCCTGAACTTTAATGTCCCATCCATTTCCCAAGGCTTCCAAATCCTTCCCCCGTTGGCTTGGTTAGTTGCTGGGCTCGGCGTCCAATTCACAGGCAGCAGCAGCTAATCCCAGGGCTGGGCAAGACATGGTGGACAAAGCAGGCCTGGGGTCGGGGGGAGGCATGACAGGGACAGCACCCTGGACAAGCTGGGGACCGATGAAGTGGCCAATGGCTGGTGCACAAGCCAAGGGGCCCAAGGAACTCCTGATCTCTGAAGCTACCTCGACCCCATGCCATCCACTCCCATGGGATATGCTGAGCCCAGGCCAAGGCTGGGAGATGGGGTGGGGTGGGGGGGTCCGGTATCTGTAATCCCACATCAGACCACCTCACCACTTCATACCGGGGTTTTCCGAGACTTTCGCAAATCTGCCAGCCCAGCCACCTTCCGGGGAGGCGGGGGAGGCCTGTCACAGGCCTGGCTAAGGCCCTCCCGTGACAGCGGTGAGGGGGGGGACACACCTAAGAAGCGCTGATGCACGTGGGCTCAGTGGAGAGCATGGCCATCTCTGTAGGGGTCTGGCTTGAGCTCTGTGCATTGCTGGGGGCAGGCTGGAAGGACAGGGAGGGCTTGCCCTCCTCTGAGATGCCCAAGGGGGCCAGGGAGGCTGGAGAGAGGCTGGCCTCCAGAGGAGCCCCCCCTGGCAGGGTGTCTGGGGCCCGCAGGGGGCTCACCAGGGGCGAGGACTGGTCTCTGCAGCAGCCACAGCAGGGGCTGGGCACCACGTGGGCCTTGCCACGCTCCTCCTGGCTGTGCCACTGCTTCAGATGGCCACACAGGTGGCAGGTGAGGGCCGAGTAGACGATGCTGCCGGCCAGGTCGTCCCTGAGGGTGTCTGTGGCCTGCTCCGGGGCCAGCAGGGTCTTGTGGCTGTCCCCTTCCTTCCCCGCCGGCTCCACATCCAGGTGCCCTGGGGCGCTGCCTGCGAGGACCAAGGCCCGAGGGCTGTGCGCTGGCTCTACGTCCAGTCCGAAGGTGAACAGGGGGATGGGGGCAGGGGCCCCAGGGCCACCAGGAGTGAGGCTCTGGAAGGGTTTGTAGCCCCCCTCCCCATGGCTGGCCTCATCCCCAGATGTCCCCGGGAGCAGGCTGGAGAAGGCCTTGTACCCTGCTTCCCCGGAAGGACCAGAGCCCGCCACCCCGGCGTCGGGGGCACAGGCCTGCTGCACGGCGCACATGAACTCCCGGTAGCCGCTGCTGGGGCCCGGGCCAGGGACCGGGGCCTCCCGGTGCTGGAGGACACTCTGGCGCAGAATCTGCTCCCAGCTTTCTGGCTCAGGCCGGGGGGCGGAGGGGATGCCGGGGTCTGCTTCCCCGGGGCGTTCGGCTGGCTCTGGGTGGCAGTCACCCTCCCCGGGGGCTGCGGACTGGCCCAGGAGGCTGCCGAAGCTGCGGTACGCGGGGTTGTCTGTGACGACAGGGGGCATCTCCACGAAAGCCGGGCTGGCTGGCCTCGGGGTTGGAGAGGCCCAAGGAGTGGACTTGGGGTGCAGAGGCTGGGGCCCCGCACCCAGGAACTCAGCCCAGGGCATCTGAGGGCACTCACTTCCTAGAGGAGGAAGGCAGGACTCCTCCAAACCCTGTGGGCAAAAGCCCCCAGGCTCCCCCCCGAGAAGGTCCAGGAAGAGGCTTTCCGTCAGCCGGGCTGCGATGTCCTCCCTGCCCTCCTGGAAGCTGCCCCCGCTGCCCTCGGGTGATGGGCAGAAGCTTCTTTTATCTTCCTCCATCTCCTCCTCGTCCTCATTCTCCACCGGGGCCTCAAGGAGCTCCACACGCTGCACCACGCTGATGCTCTCTGGCCAGAGGATCATCTTGCTGACCTCCACAGGGCACCATGCTGATTTTCCAGGAGCCTGGAAAGGCGCATTTCTGGCAGTCTTAGAGGAGTCCTCGTCCGTGTCCATGCTGTGCTCCAGTAAACAGGGCAGGAGCTTGGTAAGACAGGTCTTCCAGTGTCTTTGAGAGCAGAGAAAAGTTTAGTCAGGATTCATTTTCTCCGCTAGAAAAACTCCTATTCACCCTTCAAAGCTTGGCTCTGAAACCATCCCGGACTGATGTCTATCTGTTGCAGACATGCCTCCTGACTTCACAATCAATAATCTATCAGTCTATCTCCATTACCACACTGGGAACTCCTTGAAGGCAGGGCCTGTGTTTTATTTTGGGATTTCTGGAGGCCGCCCATAACCTGGCAGCTAATACAAACTCAGTCTACTGAATAAGGAAAAGTCTCTGTCAGGGACGATGATATTTAAACTACTTATCAATCTAAAATATTTATCAATACCACAGCATAAGTAATGACTGTGGCCACAGAGTCCTAGGCTGGGGCCGTGTGAGGGAGGAGCTAGAGGTGATGGAGGTGTTGGGAGGTCAGGGTGATGATCAGGTTCTCAAGGATTCAAGATGGCAGCTCTCTGCCAACCAGTATGTAATTCTGCCAACATTGTAACCACTGTTCAGCTTTCACCTCTATCAGCCTTGCTCAGGCCAGACTGACATTTCCGAGGGGGTTCAGCATGGGTCTGACCCCCCTCCCAGTGAAACTCAGGGGGCTTAGCCACCATGCCCGCCTCCCCAGACCACCCCTCCTCCTGCCACCCCTCAAAGCCCAATGTCACAGGACAAGTGCTGAATGCTAAGGAGGAAAAGGCAGACGTGGAGGTAGGGTGTGACCCCACTCTTAAGGTGGGCCCACTGCCCCAATTCCAATCCCTTCCAAATCCACATAGGCTGTGAGTCAAGTTCATATACATACGGGCACTTAGCTGGTTCCTGGCCTCGGGACCGCTTCCCCCACAGTGACACCTAAAATACGGAGACAGCCAATGAAACAGGATGGAGAAGACTTGTAGCCCAGCCTGGCACACAGCAATGCTCAGTGAGTGTTTGCTGCAAAAAGGCGGTAAAGATTGACATCATACCAGCCAGAGGTCCAATCGGGTCACTTCAGCTCTCTGAGCCTCAGCATCCTGGGAATCAATGATACTGCCCTGATACTAAGTTGCTGGGGCTGATGGTAAAAATGGCCACCGTGCTCTGAAGCTCTTCCCACCCCTTGAAATTGGCCTCACCAGGCGACTCGCTTTGACCAAGAGAATGCCTTGGATGTGACACTGGGCCAGCCAGCTCGGGGATGACAGACACGGCTTAGTCACCCCCACGCCCCAGTTAAGAGGCAGTCGACTTCCGGATCCGAAAGGGCCTAGGCCAGATCCCTCTACCCACACCAGTGCATGGAGCGCAGACTGCCCACCTGCACAAGCAAGGGCTAAATCAATGGTTGTCGTTTTGACTCTCTAAATTGTGGGCTGATTTGTGACACAGCAAAGCTCCCTTCCCAAGGGAGGTAAGAAACCAAGTGACCGACCCAGAGGAGCCCGCTCTGGCTGAAGAGTGGCCATGGGAGCCAAGGGGCGGGGAGGGAAGCCCTCTGGGCTCCTAGTGACCACACAGAAGCTGCTGAGACCCTGGAACCTTCCTGACTTCCCATGGGCAGTTCCAAAAGCCACCCAAGATCCTTAACATCCCAGCCGCTTTGACTCCTATCTCCTGCCGCACGCAGTCCGAAGCATCCTCCCCAGCCCACGCTCCTACCTGTGAGTCCTGGATGACTATGGCCACTAGGGGGCTGTGGGCTGGGTTGGGAATCTGGTCCCACCATCCTTTCTTAATCCTGAAAAAGAAAAGGAAGAGGTATTGGATGTCATGGCCAGGCTGGTGCTCCTTCCATGATGGGGTCAGAGACCACGCTGAGTGGTTCTCAGATGTCTTGCCCTAAACCCATTCTACAGAGGAAGAAACTGAGGCCCAGAAGGGAAGTGACCACTGGACTGTGGGCAGAACAGCCAGGTTTGTGCCCCGGGAGGATGGGTCTCCTGACGTGGCCACCACTGTCCTCGGTGGGAACAAGCCCCAGGGAATTAGGAGAAACCCAAGCGGCAGAGAGAGAATTCTGGGTTTCCCCATCAGCGATGGTCTGAGAAGCTGAGGAGACCCGGAGAATCTGCCCGGGTCTGTCTGGAGCCACAGAGTGTTGGTGCTGGGAGGGGAGGGTCTCCCATCACCTCTGACTGGCCCTCATCCACTCCACTCGGTCAGGCGGCATGCATTTACTGAGCACCTACTATGTGCCACTCACTGGGCCAGGGCGTTGGGAACACAACAGTGAACAAGACAGACAAAATCCCTGCCCTTGCAGAACTGACCTTCTAGAAGAGACGAGACATCAGCCAAAGCTACTTAAGTGTCATGAATAAAAATAAAGACGATGGGGAAGTGGGGGGAATGGAGAGTGTGATCCAAGAAGGCATCTCTGAGGAGGTGACTTCTGAGTGGCGACTGAAGGTGGAGTGGGAGCCACAGAGATGCCCGGGGAAAGGGCCTTCCAGGCAGGAGGGGGGACAGGTGAGGGGGAAACTGAGGCTCAGGGAAGGGGAGAAGACCAGCCCGGGGTCATGCAGAACCATTAGTGACATGACACGAAGAGGGGAGCCTCTCTTTATTGTGCAGCTGCAAAGTGTAAGACGCCTTCCCTCGGTCAATCCCCAGCCATCGCTAAGCCTTATGGGGTGAGCCAGGGCTCGCTAGACCCATTTCAGAGATGCGAGGTCTGAGGCCATGAGACACCATGATTCCAAGGGCCTGAGCTCACTGGAAACAAGGCTCCTCTACCCTCCCCACCCACTGTGATCCAGGACTCTCTTGGGACTCTTAGGACTCATGAAATATGCTCCTTCAACCTGCAAAGGAGGGACCCAAGATGGACAGAGGGTCAAGCCTCTCGGCCACAAAGCTACCGAGCTCCAAGCCCAGGATCTGAACCCAGATCTCCAGACTCCATTGAGGCAACTGTCTAGCATTCCTCTTTCTACTGCCACGTACCCCTTGTGTGTGAACCACACCCTGGGTACCCAGGGTGACCCATTTCCCTTCTGCCGGAGGAAGGTCTTTCCCCAGCTCATTCTCCCCCGTCAGGCCTCAGCTCAAAGGGGCCTGCCTGGCCTCCCCATCCAACACAGCACCCCGAACATTTCTCCCCTTTGCCCTGGTAAATTCCCTTCAGCACATGGATCGCTATGGAAACCAACTGTGGTTACTGGTTGACTTGGCGTCTTCTGTCTCCCCACAAGGAGCACGGGGTCCTGGTCAGGCTTGCTCTCGGCTGTTGCCTCAATGCCCAGCACTTAGTAGCTGCTCAATAAATACTTATTGTTGAGCAAAGGGACTGGAAGCTGACAGGTCAGAGGGGGCTTCCCACCCACTGCACACCCCGGGGCAGCCGGCTCGGTGGCATCCCGTGCTGAAGCCCAGGACTCACTTGATGATGCTGATGTAGCAGGACAGGCAGATGGCCAGGATGACAAGGCAGGAGATGCTGATGCTAAGCGGCAGGTGCTGCTCCCAGGGCTCATAGTCTGGAATGGGAGGGAAGCCGTGAGCCTGCATCATGCGGGGTACCGCCTGCTCTCTGCCTCCCAGAGCCGGAGACCGAAGCCTTGGGAAAGGGTCGTCTGAGACCCCGTGTGAACTGGCCACCACCAGGCCCTCCCGCCTCATCCCTTCCTTCTGAGTCCTTGTCACATGGCTGCCTCGCTGTCCCCTGCTCCTCCAAAGTTTGGTGCCACCCAGGATCTTGAACTTCCTGTTCTCTCTTTCCTGAAGCCCAGAGGTCAAGAGCAGTGGCTCTGGAGCTGGACTACCGGAGTTCAAAGCCTGACCCTGTCATATCCTTGCTGGTGACTCAGCTTCTCCGTGCCTCGTCTGTACACTGGGGTTAATAGACCGCTGCATCACAGGGCTCTCGTGGGGATTACACGACGTAATACACAGAGCACTCAGAACAGGGCTCACCCGTCCGGAAGCATTTGCTGGGGTCCCAGCTGGCTCCTTCTCGTTCATGCCACAGTCACCTGCTCCAAAAAGTTCCCTCACGCCCTCTCTCCTGGTGCCCCCTCCCATCCCCCCGTGCCCTCACCCCGCTTTATTTTCTCTCCAGACCTACTGTCACCTGGATCAAGATCTCTCTGATTTGTTTTTCTGTTTACTTGTTTATTTTCTGTCTCCTCTCCAGAATGTCAATCCCACAAGATCAAGGGTTTTTGTCTGTTTTGTTCACTGCTGATTCCCCGGAGTCGAGCCCCGGGCCAGGCATGCAGCAAGAGCTCAATGCATATTTGTGGAAATAACGAATGAGCGTCCAGCCCGTCGTATATGTTCCATACAAGCCATTTCTCTCCCCTTCTCTTCCCTTCCCCAGGTCAATGGTAGAATCCTATCAGGGTGATGCAACTCTGCCCAGCACTTACCGTGTGCTTGGTGCTGTGCCGGGCACCAGAGGTACAGAGCGGACCCTACCTACGGAGCTGGCAGCCCACAGATGGGTCAGAGACAACCACGGGACAAGATGAGCAATGTGGAGAGGGGCGTGGGGGCGTTTGGTTGGGGTACCCACCAACGGCCACTGTGCCCAGTACTTTGAAGACCCCTTCTCTCGGTGAATCTTGACAACAGTCCCTATTCCTCCTCCGTGGTATAGACAGTGCCTGAGGCAGCCCCCCCTTCCCAACAGCTACCCCCCTCTTCTTTGCCAGGGAGGGAGTAATGTGCCCACCCTGAGGTTTGGGTCAGTCATAATTATCCTCTTCTCCTTTCCAGGAAGCTTCCAGCCTCCCTTGCGGCTGGGAGAGGCTCTGTGACAGTCCTGGCCAATGAGATGCAAGGGGGAGTCCGCTAGGGAAGGTTCTGGTAAGATTTTTGCTTCCTGCTAAAAGAAAGAGATGCACCAGGTGCACTTGCTTGTGGCAGCCTTTCATTTCTTTTCGTCCCTGGGGCAGGAGGGCGTGGACAGCAGCCACCTTGGGGCCATGGGGTAACAAGTCAAAGGATAAAACGCTCCTATGCTAAGGAGGGAAACAGGGAAAGAAGACAAGCCCCTGGGGTGACATCACTGAGCTGCTGTATAAACCAGGGAAGGTCCCCTTGTAAAACTTCACATTACATGGGATAATTCAATGTTTCTATTGCAAAAAGCCACGAGGAACAGTGTTGCAAACAGCGGTTGGGGGCTGTAGCTACCGAGTGAGGGACTACATGTCCCAGAATCCCTTGCAGCTATGTGTGGCCATGTGACCGGTTCCACCAGGAAAATCTGAGAGGAAGTGGTATGTGTCACTTCTGGGCTCTGGATTTTTAAGAAGCAGGTCTGGTTTCAGCCCCTTCTGCTGGCTAGATGCAGGTGATGGTAGGGCCCTAGAACAGGGATTCTTAACTTGGGGGTTCATGGATCTCCAACAAGGTTGCTGATAGAATTTGGGGGTCTGGGAACTTGATGGGTAAGAAATAACCTCTTTATTTTCACTAGGTTCTGATACCTCGCATTTCCTCCCATTAGGGATGGAGAGAGCAAAGCACCATAGTAATAGCATCAGCCACAAAGCACCAACAGAAATCAACAAAAGATCATTTACGCTCACCCACTCTGAAATGACAGTATTTAGAAGTACCACTAGATCTTGTTTTTACAGTGCTAATTAAGAAAACCTGTATTCGTAGACAACAAATATATTTTAAAACATTTTTATAACCTCATTTCAATAAAGTTAGTTTCCCCTGTAATCCTACATATTTTATTTGTTACATTTGAAAAATAGTATTCTGAGATGGGGTCCACAGAGTCCACTCACTGGACTGCCAAAGGGGTCCATGATACACAAGGGTTAAGAATCTTTGTCCTAGGGAATGAGGGAACCACAGGGAGGAAAACCACCCACAAACCAGCTAAGTTCATGCCGGACGGTTACGTGAGCAAGAGATACATTTCTACCGTGTTTCTACTAGAACTTGTGAGCTCATTTGTTACTGCAGCCCAGCCTACCTACCCTGACCAGTACACCAGGTCAGTCAGTAATCCTGTTACCCACGGTTCGAGGCACTCGATGCGATGGAAACGCGGACGCTCAGCCAGAGGAAGTGTCTGGCCACAGAATAAAAGTGCCGAGCAGACGTTCCACCTGCCCATGCCTCCCTGTGGACACTCACCGTTAAGCCATGTTGTGCTGGGGCTCCACTCACTCCACGTGCTGTTGTAGCTCTGAGCCCAGGCCCTCACTCGTGCGCTGTAGGATGCTCCAGACTTGAGGGTGCTGGCTGCCACGCGGAGGGCAGGCCCCATGTAGGTCACGTTATAGACTTTGAACTGGTAGAGGAAAGGGACACATTAGGGCTCCAGCTTGTGGGAAGAGGACGTCCCAGCTCCCACCCCTGCTGCCGTCTCCTTAGCTGAGCCCACAGTGTTTAAGAGCCACCAGCCTGGGCATCTGGTTATTCCTCTGATTTAGGCCTTTTGTTTCACCATGACTGTGACCAGAGTCAAGCGAGAGGAGTCAGGGAATTGGCCCTCACCCTGCTCCACCTCCCCGCCACCTGGCTCCCTGATGAGCCAGGCAACATTACTCGGGCAAGCCGAGTTTTAGTTTTCTCATCTGTAAAATGAGGGAAGAGTCCCTACTGCCACTTTCTAGCTGTGGGACCCTAGGGAAGTGACATAACCTCTCTAGACCTTGATATGATCCTTCTGCAAGATGGTGATAATAGAAGTCCATACCCCCCAGGGTTGTTGTGAGGGTTAATATGGGTAAGCACGGAGGACAGGGCCTGGCATGCAGGAAGCATGACAAAGACCTTTCTAGAGCACAGAAAAGGTCACCGTGTCCCCCTCTCTCCTCCGTGGGCTCTCTGGAGCCTTCATACTCAAGCCCAAACCCTGGCCTAGAATCTCAGCCCTGCTCCCACTGCTGGGAAGGGACTTCTAAGACCTGTTATTCAGTGAAAAAGGTAAATGAAAATTAGCATGTGTTGTTTGCCACACAAACACATACACACACACACACACACACACACAAGAAGATGGACTCTAGGATGGCCCCCTGATCCCCACTTTGCATCACACCCCTGTGTAACCCCCTCTTCTTGTGTGGGCGGGGCTTGTGATCTGCTCCTATTCAACAGAATGAGGCAAAGGTGGTGGGTAGGTAGGGACCACATGCATGGGGTTATATCGCATAAGGCTATAATTCCAATGAGCTAGGAGATGCTCTCTCCTCTGCTGGTTTTGAGTCGACAACAGGAAAGGAACTCAGGGCAGCCTCCCACCAAGGGCCAGTGAGAACCTGTGGCCCCCAGTCCGGCAGCCTGCAAGGAACAATGCTGCCAACATCGCGGTTGGCACTAGGGAGAGGTCTTTCCCCAGTTGAGCCTCAGATGAGACCACAGCTGCAGCCGAGTCCTTTCATACCATTTGAATTTTTTACTACAACTAAGTACTACTTTTATTTAAAAAACAACTTTAAAAAATGAAATAAAATCTGTGTTCCAGATCGATTCTGATGGAATGGGAGTAGCCCAAATCCTCTGCCTGGGGCGCCTCTCCCTGCCAGGCCCATCCCTCTGCAGCTGTGCTTCTGCTCGTGGGTTGGAAGCATATTTGGAGAAACAGGTCTGGTGTAAAGTGAGCTGAGGGGAGGTGTTGCAAAGAACCCCAACAGGTCACTGGAGAGACTGGAGGGCAGCTGGAGCTTCCCAGTGGAGTGAGGCTGGGGAGGGGGCTGAGGGAGGAAATGAGGACAGGAAGATGAGGACACTCACTCTTCTCTTTCTAAATATGGGTAAGCGGGAACGAACAGCTGGACCTAGTTCTCTAAAGGAATCGTACACCCTGGAGAGGAGTAGGGGATTGGGAAATGTTTTACTAAGAAACGGAAGTGAAATCAGAGGAACTACTTGTAGCTTGTGTTTCAACAAAGAGGCCAGGTGTTTGGGAGGCCACCCTTGAGACAAAGATCCAAGGCGGGAGAAACAGCACAGGCTCCGGAGTTCAAATCCTGGCTCCCAACCCCAGCTCTGCCATTTCCAGCGACCCTGGGCGAGTATGTCTATATCCCTGTGCCTCAGTTTCCTTGTCATTAAAGTGGAGAGACCAGCACCCTCCCACCTGCTGGGCTTTCGCAGCCGACAGTGATCCAGGTTGAGCCTAGCACATTCCAGGCATGCAGGAAATGGGAACCATTATGTCCACGAGCGTGGCATTCATGACCTTGCACACACCACCACATCCCCATACTCCTCAAGAGATGCTACGCATCCTTGTACCTCCAAGTCTTTGCTCATGTGGATCCCTCCATGCAGCCTACCCTTCCCTTCCTTCCCTATCTAGAAAACTCTTATACACCCTTCAACACCCAGGCCAAAACTCCACCTCCATTATGGAACCTTGCCCAGAAATCATCCAGGACCCTGAGTAGATTTATCCCTCAAATCCCGGAGCAAACTTCTAAGATGTCTCCTTAGAACTGATCCCACCCGTGGAACGCACAGCGTGGAGACTACAGGGAACCTTCTGGCTCCAGTTCCAGGACTAATCCTCATTGGTTGAGACCAATCGCAGCCATTCCATTCCCTAGCCTGTGACTGATTAGAGAGGAGCATGTGACCAGCTCTGGCCAATGACCAATAAGGGGAATTCTATAGGTTGGGTCTGTCCCTGGGGAAGGGAGGGATGGGTGAGGGGTGTCTCTATAGCTTCTTCCCCACCAACAAGAGAAGCTGGACCCAGAATTCGGAGGCCCTGGGCAGCACTGGGTGTGTATATGACAACTGAGTCATGGCCTGGGTACACCGATTAGTTTTCCCTGCTGGCTGGAGTCTGGGGCCAGATCCCAAACCTGACTGTGTCTCAGCAAGCCCTGTCCCTGTTTTTCCTTCCCCGGAGTTTCCTCTGGGGAGCCACCCCTTCCTCATTCTCCACCCATCTGGCTTGGGTGGAGCTGACCCCAACTGCAGGTCCAGGGGTGGGCACGTGACTCACCTCTGGCCAATCAGAGCACAGCACCCTCTTTCCTGCCCACAGCCTGGGCCAGGTTCAGAGATTTGCATGGGACCCAAGCCAGGCAACTGGGCATTGGCCCCAGAACTTTTACTGGGACTCTGGGGAAAGAAAAGCCTTTCCCACTGTGGCTTGAGCAGGTAGCTAGCATGTAGCATGGAGCTGCTGGTGGATATACTGGCCACTACATGAGGGAAGAGCCTCCCTAAAAATGAAGCCAATACAGAATAGAGCGGGGACCAAGGGCGGGATAGATTCCTGGAACCTGGAGCCAGCCACGATAAGCAAATAAGGAACACTGCTTTGGACCCTATAGGTCACACCCTGCTCTACCCTCTTAATAAGCTTTGCACTTCCCAGAACATGGGGAGGGGATTTCCCTACAAAATGGAGCCTGCCTCTGTCTTTGGCATCTCTGTCTTTGGCATCTGTGCGGCCCCTCCCAATGCTTTCTGGGCCTCCTCTGTGAGAACCCCACTGCCCCATTCCCGCTCCCACCCCACACCATGGCCCCATGGCCCCGTGCCAGGTGGGAAACCACACCTGAGCCCGAGAGCTATGAATCAACACACTCCCCCTCGCTGGCTGAGGGAGGAAGACAGGAAGCAGCCAGAGGCTGATGTGGGAGTTTAAGACGTGTGCAGCCTGCTCCCTGGCAGCAGAAGCCAGGCCAGCCTGGGTCCCAGGACACCGGGCGTGCCTCAGAGGAGGCCCTCGGCGAGTCTGATGTAGCCACTTCCAGACCAAGGTGTGGGAGGGCAAGGCAGATGGGGCTTTCCAAGGCCTGTGGCACTCGGGAGAAAAGGAGAGCAATGTTGACGACACACGGGGTGCCCGGCCCACACTCGGCACCCTTGGTAGCCCATGGAGTAGGTACTCTTGCTAGCCCCATGTTACAGAGGAGACAACTGAGGTACGAGGAGGTTACGCGACATGACCAGGATCATGCAGCTGACGAGTGCAAGCAGGCAATGGAACCCAGCTCTGTGCGGTTCAGATGCTGTCCCTCCCCTGGGAATGTGTGAGGGGGAAATGGGGGCGGGAGGAAATGAGCTTCATCCCCACCAGAAACTAAAAAGGAAGGGAGCCAAGCCACCTGCCGCATACAGTCCCTGCTAGTATTTACTGGATAGTTTGCTGGCCATCAGTTCTCCCTTTTAAAAACCTGTCACCACCTTCATTTAAAAAGCAACCCCGCAATCACTGTTGTGATGGCAAAGCCCGTAGCAGATGTCATTAGCATCCCAGAAAAGTCAATGCAATGAGGACCGAGCGACAGCATTAAATGATGGCTGAACCGGTTCTCTGGGGAGGAAGGCTCTGAGCCTGCAGCCTCCTCTCTCCATGAAAAAGTGCTGAACCCAGCACAGAGCCAGGGTGGAAGTCGGGCTCTAGGTCCCCGGTTTTGCAGTCAGGCCTCAGGGCCCGAGTCTTCACCCGCCTGAGTCCCAGGAGGTGTGGAGAAACCCCCCAGCGCACACACTCACGTCCGTGGGGTCGTTTTCATTGGAAATGTTGACCATGTAGGTGAGCTCGGAGTACAAGTGATTCTCGCTAGGGTACGGGTTTGTCCACATCAGCAGCCACGTGTGGGAGACGTTGGGGTGAACCGTGAGGTTCCCGGGGGTCCTGGGTTTCACTGTGGAGAAGCGGTGCCTGGTGAGGCCCTTGTCCAGGTGAGGGGAAGGGGATGGCCCGCGGGACACCGGTCACTTAGACTGTTAGTCAACCTGGGGGGCGCCTCGGGGGCTCAGTCAGCTAAGCATCTGACTCTTGGTTTGGGCTCAGGTCATGGCCTCAGGGTCAGGGGCTCGAGCCCCACGTCGGGCTCCGTGCTCAGTGGGGCGTCTGCTTGCGATTCTCTCCCTCTCCCTCTGGCCCTCCCCTCTCTTTCTCAAACAAATAAATAAATCAATCTTTAGATTTTTAGTGAACCACACCTCCATAGCACATTTCTGGAATCCCACATGGATTGAGTCTCAGCAGAGAACGACAATCATAATACTGATTATAATGTTGCTAAAACTCTGCTTAGCACTCATGGTTATTAACCAGCTTTCTACAGTGAAATGCAAAATGTGTGAGCCAAAGTAACCCCAAATTTGCCTTTTTTTCACCTTTGTCCTTCACACTTTTGGCCACATCTATGTACTATGTTCTTACTTTTTTTCCATTTATTTTGATTCATGTGTTTTAAAACTTAGTCTCCTTTTAAGCAATCCTATCCAGGAGACCATAGGTATGTAACATGTACTAAAATCACTGCACACGTGCAGAAATGCTTTTAATTCATGGGTTCGTTCACGGGTCTGTTTAAACAACCCACTGACCGTGGGCGGCATGAACGGGCCCTTCGGGAACTGCTGAGCCCGTGAACTCTGTGGATACCCGCGAGAATTTTCCTCTGATTCTTAGTAGCTGTGTGACCTTAGGCAGGTTTACTTGCCTTCTCTATATTATATTCAATTGTAAAATGGGGATAACTCTCTTCTGGAAAACGAGGCTCAGAGAGGTAATCTGACTTGCCCAGGGTCACACAGCAATAAATGGTATTTTAAACTCCCGTCACTACGCCACAGCAGAATCATGGTGAACTGCGGCGGGGCCTCTGACTACCAGGATAACGTCAGCCTTCCATGGTCCAGACTGCCTGAAGCAGCAGCAGCGGACCAGGTGACAGAGGGTGGAAGGAGAGTGCCCAGCTCAGTTTTTTCTCTGCAGCCAACTTGCCTTCTGCTAAGTACGCTTCATCTCAAGTCCCCAGTCTGGGCACTTAAAGTCAGGTGGTTGAAATATAAAAGCTGAAGAGGACCTGATGTACTATGGAGCCCAGTCCCATTTCAGAGATGGGAGGACTGAGGCCCAGAAAGGGGCAAAAACCTCATCATGTCTGGGAATACGCAGAAGACTGCCTGCACCTTGCTCCCCCAACTGGAGGCTGCCTCCCCTGCCCCAGAGGCCGGCTGGGGTTTGGGACCCCCCCCCCTGCCCCGCTGGCCCCACTCACCATGCGCGCTGGGCTGGAAGGAGCCGCCCCACAGCTGCTGCTTCCCAGCCCACAGGTCCAGCTGATAGACGTCCGCTTCGACCACGTCATCTATCGGCATGCTGCATGTGCACACCGCGCCTTCTCGGTTCTCGGGGACACATGTGCGGTTTCTGCAGACACGGGTGTGCCGTTAGGTTGCCGTGTTCAGGCGGACCGTGACCCACAGGTATCCCTGGAACATGCCTCAAGGAACATATGTTCATATGCTCTGCCCGCTTCCTGATTGCCCTGCCCCCGGGACCAGATCTGGGGACCGGGATGTGGCGAGGACAACAGATGAGGACCGCTCTCCTTGCTGGCCACAGCCACCTGCCACACCCACCATGGACTCTTAGGCAGCTCTGGCCATGGTCGTGGTCCCGGAACTCGGCTCGCCCTTGAAAGCCAGTGAAAGGGAAGAAACGAAGGCACTAAAGAATTCGTAACAATGTGTGTATGTGTCCCAGTGTGCCTCCGGGTAGCACGGTTTATCCCAGTGGACAGTGGGTGGTAGCATGCTGCCCCACATCTCATGGGCTAGGCTAGGGGTCAGCAAACGTTTGCTGCAAAGGGCCAGGCAGTAAATATTTGGGGCTTTGAGGGCCATACTGTGTGCGTCCCAACTATTCAACTCTGCTGTTGTAGCCCAAATGCAGCCGTAGACAATACAGAAATGAATGGGCGTGGCCGAGTGCCAATAAAACTTTATTTACAAAGGCAAGTGGTGGGCTGGATGTGGGCCTCGGGCCATAATCTGCAGATCCCTGGCCTAGGCCAGTGTACCACACTTCAAAGCACAGCCCATCCAGCTTGGTATACCTTGGAATGCCTCTGTCAGTGGACCCTATGTCTGTATGGCATACGCCAGGGTGCCCTTGTAACTGCATGCCTTGGGTACCCGATCACGTCCTGAGCACCGCCTGGAAGGATACCGCAGGTGCCATGGATTATCCCAGTGACCCACCTGGAACAACGTACCCCGGGTTCCAAGGTCCACCAGACATCACAGTGAACTCCACCACTAACACACTATCCCCAACCCTCTGGGCCCAGCCTCCCCCAAATCCCAGCTCCACCCCAGGCTTACTCAGACCCCATGAAGTCCAGCTGGTAGGACAGGCGGAGCTCGGCACTGCAGTCGGTGGGACTGTCCATCTCCCACTGACAGACAGAGGTGCTGACGTAGTCAGACAAGCAGCTGGGCTCCTGCAGGACCTTAACACTCCCTGGGGAGACACAGGAGTGCCCTGAGCAACCAAAGCCAGACAAGCAAGGGGGGCATGCACCAGGGGGACAAGTTGGAAGCCAGCCCAGACAGGACCGAGGAGTCCATCACAAAACAAGGAGACTACAGTCCCAGGCACAGTTGTGTGCCAGTCTTCATGGAGCTGGGGGCAGGATGGGGTTCTGGAGCTTCCCAGCCGGCATGGGGGAGATTCCTGAAGCCGAAGAATACCCCCAGGTGGTAGGGGCTACCTTTATCTTCCCGAAACTCCACTACTTGCCCCTATGAGGCCAAATCAAAGGAAATTTCTAATCTAAGAAATGTCTAGTCTATTGCACTGTCACAGGCACCTGCCCCAGAGCAGTGTGAGCGAGAGGAAGGGCTGTTATCCATTTGCCTGCTCCCTGCTCCCATCTATCTTCCACCCCTCTCTGCGCTCAGGAAGCTGACCCCACCGCCCCCCAACCATGGTCTTGCCACTCAGATGCCCTTGTTCTCTGGCTGCCGGTTGGGTTCAGCCAATATCAAGGGCAGGATGAAAGGCTGGGATGTTTCTTCCGACCAGTCAGTGGCAGAGCTGGGGTGTGAAGCTGGCAGGATGGGATACTGGGTTTGCCAAATCATCCGAGAGCCCTCACCCCGGCTCAAGACTGCCCAGCCACAGACGGGCAGGTGCTTTCTTGCTCTGGTGCCCAGCACCAGCCCCGCCACCGCGGACATCAGTCTGCATTTGTTTGCTGGATGAAGGACTAATCATGTTAGGCAGAGCCTTAGATTTCTAACAGATATCTTAAACTCACCTCGTGTCCAAAACTCACATCTCGTTCCCCACCCTCCCAAGCGAGTGCTCCCTACTCTGCTCCGTGCTGTTTTTTTCTATCACTTTCTAACACTCTTTACAATTTATTTATAATTAGGACTATTCGTCATTAGCTGTCCCCTCCCACTACAGTGTAAGCTCCTCAAGGCCTGGAATCTTTGTTTTGTTCACTGATTATCCTAGGACCCTGGCATCTAAATGGCCAACAAACATTTGTTGAATGAGTGATCAAATGAATGAACGAAGGAATGAATGGGAGTTGGTGACTTACCAGAGCCTGTCACCCACACCAGGATCAGGCAGCTCACAGGGAATGTGAGCCCAGAGCAAAGCTGCCCCATTGGGAGATCCTAAGATACCTGCTGAGAGAAAGTGACCCAGGTTAGTGCCAACAATGAGCCTTCTGTGTTCACCCGAGCTCTATCTATCTATCTATCTATCTATCTATCTATCTATCTATCTATCATCTATCTCTATAATCATGAAACACAACCCAGATGCAGAAAGCCCAGAATGAGATCCACAGAATGCCTGTCCAAAGAGACACTTGTTGAAAAAAGACCCATGACCTACCTACTAAATTTAAGCAACCCCTCGGACTTTTGGAAGTTCATAATGCACATTTGAAATGTAGAGGCTCTGTTAAGTCCTGCAGCAAATAAATTTATTTTTCTTCATTTAACCCAACACTTACCAATTTATTTCCCTACTCAACCTTGATTTGTGTGTGTGTGTGTGTGTGTGTGTGTGTGTGTGTTTTAAAACCCCAATTAACCCCCTAAAAGATTCCTTGACATATACTTTGGAGATGTTAATCTGTTTAGCCTTATAGAGCAGGTTAAATAAATGGTGGTATATCCATGCAATAAAAATGATGTTTGAGTGTGTTAGACTTATATCAATGGCCCCAATTCCTCACACCCCTCCTGGCTCCATGTAACATTTCAATGCCTCCAGCACCACCACCCCTCTGGGGAGGGCATTTGCCCCTGTCCTTGGATTATGGGCTCAACCATGTGACTAGCTCTGGCCAACTGAGTATTAGCAAATGGATGCATTGTAGAAGCCTGCTTTTGCACGACCACTGCCTTGAGAACACGACCGTGCTAGCCTGTGGGAGGATGGTGACATGGAAGAGTCCTAGCAACCCCATTCCGCATTAGGCAACAGGCAGCCACCCCCGGTCATGTGAGTGAGCTCAGGAGCCGACCCAAGGCTAGCCACAGGTGCATGGGTGAGCCCAGTGAGCTCAGCCAAGCCCAGGTAAGCTGGCCCGCCCGACTTGAGCTAAATAAGCATCTCTTGTTACATGCTCCTGGGCTTTTGAGCTTTATTGTGATTCCCCCTCAAGTCATCACCCCTCCACTCTGACTTCTAACCCCATAGATTACCTTTGTGTTCTGTGTTTCATACAAATGGAATTGTGCACTGCCTCTACTGTTAATGGCATCTCATAATACATGACTGGGAAATAAGAATCAGAAAGTACAGACACCCAAAATGAAACACAATTCAAATCCTCCCCAAAATCACAAGGCCCAGCAATAACCCCTGTATACATTCCTATCAATGCTTCCAGATTTGTATCTATACAAATAGGGAGATAAATATGAATTTTATTTACCCAAATAGCAGCACCCTCTGCCCTACTAAAACTTAAATATTTAATATGTCACTAAATATCATTCCATCCCACTGTAGATCCAAAGCATCAAATTCGTAGTATCCCCCTGTGTGTCTGCCATTGGATTTTTAGCCTTTATTATTGCTTTGTTGTTATACACAGCATGGCGACTGTGCCCATCCTCAGAGAACCATCGCCACACATTTCTCTGATCCTTGCCTTAAGCTTATTCTTTTCTTTTTTTTTTTTTAAAGAGTTATTTATGTATTTTAGCGGGGGGGGGGGCAGAGGGAGAGAAGCAGGCTCCCCGCTGAGCACAGAGCCCCACACAGGGCTCGATTTCATGACCTGCTCATGACCTGAGCCGAAATCAAGAGTGGGACACTCAACCAACTGAGCCACGCAGGTGCCCCTTATTTCTCTCTCTCTCTCTCTTTTTTTTAAAGGTATGTTATTGATCTTTTCTCGTATTACAAAAGCCACATTTGATCGCTGTGGAAAATTTAATTAAGAGGGACACAGCAAACAAGTGAAAAGAATGCCTGTAATTCCATCACCTGGGAAAACACCACGGGTGACCTTTTTGCATCCATTTCCAGTCTTTTCTGTGCATATCTAGTTGGATGGCATGGGCTGGTACAACGTCTGCTGTTTCAGAGCCTGTTTATTTCTATGCCATGAAATACTGCTCCGCACCCCTCCTCACAATGTGTAGTGGGTTTCCTGAAGTTTAAACACCTGCTCTTGTCACTTACTCCTTGTGAGCCTTGAGCAAACTGCTCCATGCCTCAGTCTCCTACCCTGTAAAGAGGAGCTCATAACAGCTCCCATCTGACTGGGGTCTTGTGAGCGCTAAAGGAGGTCCAAGGAGTCACCAGGCACTCTTGTTAAGGAAAATGCTCAGAAGTGGATTCCCTGAGTGTTTACTTCTTCCCACAACACTCCTGGCACAGAAGGCCAAAGGGCTTCTCTAAAAGGCAAGGCACTGAGGTATGTTCCCGGCAATGCTGAGATCACCGCACACACACACCCCCCCCCCCGCCCCGCCTCGTGGGTCTCTATCTTGGCTTCCAGGCTTCCTTCTGCTGCTTGGTAGCTGCGTGCTGTTAAGCAGCTACCCTATCTTTCACTGAGTTCAATCTCACAGGTGTACTGCAAAAAGGAAGTGAGGTCTGTACCCAAAGCACTCTGCCCCCAGTGTCTGGAGCACAGGAAGGGCTTTATGCCCCTATTGGAAGCTCTCCACTTGCAGGACCTCCCGGGCTGCGCCCCGCCTCCCTCTCCACCTGTCCCAGCACCTGTGCTCGGCGCTCCTGCCACCCGCACATCTTCACTTCCTCCTGCTGCCCTTCAGACACAGCAAACCCATTCCCACCTCCATACCTTTCCTCTTGCGGTCCTTTGCTCTCTCTCTCTCTCTCTCTCTCTCTCTCCCATTTATTCATTTTATTTATTCATCTGTCCTTAACGGATAAATTACCCCATAATACTGCAGTGTATCTTTCAGAAAACAAGGACATTCCTTCTCCTATCAAGCCACAAGGCAACCATCAAAACGAGGAAATTAACACTGAGGCATTACTCTCATCGGATCACAGACCCTACCTATTTCCACCTTGCTCATTGCCTCCATAATGCTCTTTTTAAGTCCAGGACCCAGTCTAGGATCATGTGTTACACCTGATCATCTTGCCATCCCAGTGCCCAGGTCTTGGCTTCGAGCACCGCTCCACACCGAATGGAACGAGGGCTCCTTGAAGAAGGGGCTGACCCCAGGAGCAGGGAAAGTGCATGATAAGCCTGGAATCCTTGTGTCAGAAAGTAAGGACGCGCCCCAAGAATGGTGGGGACTTGTCAAAAAAGACACAGGAGCCAGCCAAAACAATGTCCACTGGCTCAAACGGGCACAACAGAAGCATCGCAATAAATATACAGTAACCGATTGTAACTCTTGGAGTTAAACAGGGCGCAGGCGTCTGTCCTGCTTTTGCTCAGCAAGTGGGGGGAAGGAGGTAGGTAGTTCCATGTCTCCGTGGCAGCCTCTAAGTATCTCCCCACAAGACTCATATTGCTTATTCATTAGTGAGTCAAAATACTTATTAACTTTACAATGTTCTATACTTTATACACAATACTTTATATAGAGATACAATTGTATATAACTTTATGTACAGAAACCTGGCAGGCACACCTTCACCAATCGCCAGGAACGGGGCAAATCAAGGTCAGGAGCTTTCTGAAACTACCCCCCGAGAACACAGCTTGCTTCTCCGGTGTTCCGGCCCCAAGTGCACAAATTACAAGGAAGCATCAAACCTAACCGAGAATTGAGAAGAATCGAATCTAGAAAAGAATTGGCCTATGCTCTTCAAAACATGCTGGGGGTGGGGCGGGGTGTGGGGGCAAAAGGTGAGGACAGTGTGGGAAGGCTGCTTTTTTTCAATTGTCTGTCATCCCGAGAGCCAGCTTTTGTCTTGTTCGCTGCTGAGTTCCTAGTACCTACAGTGGTGCCTGGCGCGTAGCACCTGCTCAGTTAGTGCTCGTGGAATAAAGTCATCTTGGACGTGATGCGGGGCCTCTAATGGGCTCAGCACGGGACTGGAAACTCTCCCCAGCAGGGGAACCCAGGATCTGCTCAAAGCCCCAACTCACTTCTCTTGAAGAGTCACAGTGAAGAGCAAGGAAGGAGGGGTGGGAATGTGGTGGTGGATCCATGACGCTGGTGTCCTCTACAAAGTCCCGGTAACTTTTCCTCTGACAGGTTCACACATGCCCACAGCATCCTGCGGCAGAAATGGCAAAGGTGTCACTTTAGCTCTGATATTGAACAAAGAGAAACAGAGAGGGCAAGATAACATGTACAAGGTCACACAGCAGAAGGGCTATTATGATAAAGTCAAGCCACCCAGGCAGGGGAGACTAAAACATCCCATCTATAGCAGACAGGGTTGCTATCTTTGATCTCTTTCAGAGGGGAAATCCAAATGCACATCCAAATATGTGCATGCGGATGCCCATAACTGCCTGCGTGGCACGTGCACACATCAGCTGGCTTCACGGACAAGCGGGTGCTGCATTCAGGGGAAATCACAGCCCGCAACGTTCAGTAAGAGAAGAACCTCCCTGAATATCATAGGGATGGAGGACAAAGATGCAGATAAATAAAAGAAGTAAAAAGAATAATTATCAACTGCACGAGTCAAGCATATGGCAAGAGAAAATAATTTCAAGTTCACACTCTCAGTCATGGGAGTCCTGACCCACTGGAGTTGGCCGGCAACCCCAGGCTCCATTGCCAATCCAAACAGCGATGCCCTGCACACATTTTCTCTCTGCCAGGCTCCTGCACCTCCCCGGATGCTCATCTCCAGGTTACGGCTGAGCAGAACTGACGACTAGAAACCGTTTCCTTAGGTCGAGCCAAAGATTTGTGTAAACAAAATCCCGCCTGTCAAGTACTTCATTGTGCTTGGCACCTAGCTAAGCGCATTAGGAACATTATCTTATTGAATCTACCCGAGAACCCTGCAAGATGGCCTGTTAATCCCACTTTCCATCTGGGGGAACTGAGGCCAGAGAGGTCAAGTAACCTGCCCATCAGGTCCCACAGCTGCCAAGAGGGGAAGCTATTGTCAGAATCCAGGTCTGTTGGCTTCTGAGCCCAAAGTGCATTCCAATACATCAGTGCCTTCACCTTCTCCTGGAACTACACAATGAACCCAACTAGATGAATGAAATAAGCCAGGGAGAACTGGCCCTCCTGCTTGTTGATTTCAAACATCAGCTGCCCCGCCCCCCCCACACACAGGACCAGCAACAGCAGAAAAGACCTAGGGCTTTTGTTGTTTACAAACTCCCCACAAGCCAGAGGGCGGCAGCAACTTAAAAAAACAAACAGACAAAAAAGCCAGTGAAAGTCATATTAACAGAGATATGAGAGCCAGGACAAGGGAGGTGACAGTGCCCAAACACACCTGTGCATCCCTTTGGAAGAAACCCTGCTGATCTGAATGAAGCTAGTCTAGAGGATGATAACCGACACAGAGAAGGCTTGAAAAATCCCAGAGGGCCTAGAAAGGCTTTGCCTAAAGGTTCTGTCCCCTTACACCCTACAGGCTCATCATTCACTGAACAAAGATATGCTATTTACAGCATGCCAAGTTTCTTCTAAACACTGCACTTGTATTCATTCATTCGATGCTCAAAACAGTCCTATGGAGTAGGTACTATTATTTCCCCCATTTTCCAAATAGGTAACCAAGGCACAGAAGGGTTAAGTGATTTGCCTGAGGTTGCAGAGCTGTGGCAGTCGTTAGATTTGAACAGGGGCAGTCGGGCTCTGGGGCCTCAGCTCTTAACCCCTATCTCTGTTTAGAAGCCACAGTCCTTCATGTTTTGGAGATCACGGACCCATCTGAATATCTGATGCAAATTCCAAACCCTCCTTCAAGAAAAGCGCACCCATTAAATTTTGCATTCCAATTTAGGGGTCTGTAGATCACCTCCACAGCTGAAGTAAGGACCCCTCTTCTAGGCAATGAGCAGTTTTTAAGGGTTTGAACAGTGACAAGATTTTCCAAAAGCCCAGTTTGGGGCTGAGAGAATGATGGGGGTGGGGCAAGGAGGAAATTAGGGTTACTGCAGACATGACTCACTTCATTTCTTCTCCACGCAGAGTCATTTTAAACCAGAAACCAGGCCATGAACTCCCTGCTCCTGCCCTTCATTGGCCTCTGGCTCCCAAAGGGTGTCTTCACCCAGGGGCACACAGATAGATGCCTGCAGTTCATGGCCTATCCAAGACGAGCATCCCCGACTCAGAATAAAATCCAAGCCCGAGTGAAAACAGCCAATCCAAAAGGGCGCACCCTGTGTGATTCCATTTATGTAACATTCTTCAAATGACAAAATTATAGAAATGGAGAACAGATTCACTGTTGGTGGGGAGGAAGGGAGGTCTGTGTGGCTATAAAAGGCAACACAGGGATCTTTGTATCGCGGTTGCTGTGCTGGAGACACAAACCTGAGCATGTGACGAAACTGCACTGAACTACGTACGCACATGTGTACAAACACGCACATGCGCGAATGTGTGCGAGTAAAACAGGTGCCTTCTGAGCGAGCTTGGGGGATGATCTCAGTGTCACTGTCCTGGTCGTGGTATTGTACTACAGTTTCCTAAGACAGGTACTCTTGGGGGAACCTGACTCTATCCTTTCTTACAACTGCAGGTGAGTCTACAATTATCTTAGAATAAAAAGTGTAAGAAAAAATAAAAAGTGTAAGAAGATGCAAAACCCAAACCAAACCAAAAAAACCTTAGGCCTCCTAATGATCTTGCCCCTGCTACATGTCCACCATTCCCTTCTACTGCCTCCCGGTCCCCCACAGGCCTTTGGTCCCACTGGCCTCTGAACACCTTGACACGCTCTGAGCCTTTACACCCAGAAACTCCACCTAATGAGGGTTCCCCCTGTTACTGCTTATCACAGCACCCTGTTTATTTCTGTCATATACTTATCACCATCTCTAATCATATCACTGAGGTTACATGTGTGAATGTTTATTTTAATTCAGGATGTAGATGGCAAAGATTGAAGATCTGATGGCAAAAATGTTTTCAACTTCCCCAGGTGGAAATACGCCATTAAAAAAAAAAAAAAAGCAAGCAAAGACCAGAAAAAGATAGCAGTCTACACTGCAGGGGCTTAATGGCCTTTATATATAAAAAGGTCTTACAAATCAATAAGACAAACGTCCCTTTAAGAAAAATAATAGGCAAAGGACCTAAGTGATTCACCCAAAAGGTATTCCATCTTGGCAAAATATGAAACAGCCCCTTTCATTCTTCTGCTAGTTCATGACACTGGGAGTGTCAAAGATCATTTGTAACATTTAAATTATTTGTCTATATATGTACTGTTTGTCTCCCTACCACGAGAATACAAGCCCCAAACTCTGTGAGGACAGAGCTTTATGGTCATTGCTTTGTCCCCAGGACCCAAACAGTGCCTCATACATACATAGTATGTGCTCAGTAAATATTTATTAAATGAGTGATTGGTTAAAAGTCAAGAATAACAAATTCTAAAATCTATTTTTAAACACGGGGTACCAAGCTGTTGCTATGCACCCAACTCTATGAGGTAGGCGCCATTAAAACCCCCATTTTACAGATGAGGAGACTGAGGCACACAGAAGTTGCAGAGCTAGGACGTGAACCCAGGCAGTCTCACTCCGGAACCCATGTGCCTGACCCCGGATTATGCTGCCTCTTGAAATGCAGCCCTTGCCACCCTGGGGTGTGGTGCCATTGGGCCAAAATTGAGGTTTAGAGATGGCAAGCGACAAAGCCAAGGTCAGGGAGGGAGGAAGCTACAGTCGGCGAGAGTCCGAACTAGCAAGACGTGGGAAAACCCTCCTGCCGGCAGTGAGGTACACTTAACTTACTCTCTGTATCTGGGAGGCCGTGAGTGGCAAGCCTTGAAATGTCAGGAGGCCAGCAGCAGTCGGGAAGTGACCGCGCAGCTCTTCCTGAGCCCAACGGGGCGCAGGGCCTCTGGCTCCCCGCTCCTCTTCCCTTTCTTGACTGCAAACCAGCTTGAAGGGGGGCTGGATGGGCAGACAGGATGCAGCCAGTCCCATGACAAGCGCACGTGAAGAGAAAGCCAATGACAGTGGGGGCTCAGGGCGGCCTCCCTGGGGAGCTGCTGGCCCCTGCGACTCCAGTCTGAGGCTGGCCTGGAGCTTCCTCTGTCTTCCAGGACAGCTGGGCCGCCCTGGCGCAGGGCCAGGGCCACACTTCTCCCCAGAGCAGTGGCTTTCCCAGAACTGCTGCCTGGCTGGGGTTCCCAGAACTGGCAGCCGCATTAGCGGCCCCGCCCCGCGGGTGATGCAGGCCAGCCCCGGGCCCCAAAATGGCCTGGCCTCTGTCTCCTCGGCTCGCGGCCCAGCGAGTGGACACGACGGGTGGCGGCAGGCTGGTCCTACTCCCACTGGGGGCGAGAATCAGCAGCCTCGGCCAACGGGGTCCAGCAGGCTTCCTGTGGACCTACTGTGCGTCCCCGCTCCTTGCCCACTCGCCCGAGCCCACGTGTGCTCCTGCTGTGCTTTCTGAGCACTTACTAAATGCCAGTGGCTACCGACGCGGAGAAAGCCATTCATTCGTTCACTCAACTCACCCATTCATTTCTTCCTTCTTCCCTTTGACAAATAACTTAGAAAGAGAAGTTACTGGAGGTTTTTGAGCAGAAATTGACCCGATGAGACTTTTCAAACCATCCCTCTGGTTGTGTGGTCTGAAAGGCCCATGGAGTCAAGGGCAGAAGCAGGCACCAGTGAGGAGCCTCCTGCCCTGGTCCAGGCAGCAGATGCTGGGAAGGATCAGCAAGAAGGGCTGACTTCTAGATCGGCCGAAGGCTGAGCCAACGGGATTCGCTGATAGAATGGACTTTGGGAAGAGAATGAATCGGGGTAGAGCATGACTCTCGTTTGTTCCTGAGCCACCAGAAGGCTGGAGCTGCCATGTGTCAGGCTGCCGTGGAGTGTGGGAGGGCCCTGTGTGAGAAAGAGGCCTGCCGGGGGGGTGGGGTGGGAAACAGTATCAGGAAAGGTAAGAGGCTGTTTGGGGAAGATCCATGCTGGCCCTAGAGCGTCAGGTGTCCCTGGAGGAATGAACGAGAATTCCCCAGGGGAGGGCAGGGGTGCATGCTTGGAGAGGGAGGAAGAGCATCCCATGTACGGGAGGCACTGTGGGCTCATGAGGACAGGCAAAGTCTCATCC